ATCTAACTTTAAGCATTAAGGTTATATGCTTATTATTTTTATTTTTATTTTTTATTTCTTCCTTGACCCAATGATGATTCGGGGAAGCATTGTCTAATTTCCATGTGTTTGTGGGCTTTCTAGAATAGTGTTGCCGTTAAATTCTAATTTTAAGCCATGGTGATCCAATAAGATACATGGGATTATTCCAACTTTTTTTGTATCTGTTGAGGTTTCCTTTGTTACCAAGTATGTGGTCAGTTTTTGAGAAGGTTCCATGTGCTGCTTAGAAGAAGGTATATTCTTTTATGTTTGGCTGGAATATTCTATAGATGTCTGTTAAGTCCAGTTGAGTCATAACATCTGTTAGTTCCCTTATTTCTCTGTTAATTTTTTGTCTGACTAACCTGTCCAGCGGTGAGAGTGGACTGTTGAAGTCTCCCACTATTAGTATGTAGGGTTTAATGTTTGATTTAAACTTTAGAAGTGTTTTTTTTTTTTTTTTTTTTTTTTTTTTTTTTTTTTTTACATATGAGGGTGCCCTTGTATTTGGGGCATAAATGTTAAGTATTGAGATTTCCTCTTGATGGATTTTTCCTGTGACTAATATGAAATGTCCTTTTTTTGTCTCTCTTGATTGACTTTAGTTTGAATTCTATTTTGTTAGTAATTAGAATAGCTACAGCCACTTGTTTCTTAGGTCCATTTGATTAGAAAATTTTTTCAACCCTTTACTCTGAGCCAATGTCTGTCTTTATGTTGAGGTGTGTTTCTTGTATGCAGCGGCAGAATGGATTCTGTTTTCATACCCAATCTGTTAGCCTGTGACTTTTTATGGGTGAGTTAAGTCTATTTGTATTAAGGGATATTAATGAAAAGTGATTGCTATCTCCTGTTAATTTAATTTTTGTTTTTGGTGGTGTTATTTTGTGCATATTTTTTCTTCTTTGGAATTTGCTACTGTGAGATCATCAGTTGTCTGTGTTTTTGTTGATGTAGCCAACTTCCTTGGGTTAGAGTTTTCCTTTACTTTGTGTAGGGCTGGATTTGTGGCTAGGTATTGGTTAAATATGATTTTGTCATGGAATATCTTGTTTTGTCCTTCTATGGTGATTGAAAGTTTTGCTTGGTACAGGAGTCTGGGCTGGCATCCATGGTCTCTAAATGACTGCATAACACTTGACCAGGACCTTCTGGCTTTCATTTTCTCCATTGAGAAGTCAGGTGTAATTCTGGTATGTTAATGTTTTGATTATTATGTGTGATGAGGGGACTTTTATCCACTCTAGTGTTCTGTATGCTTCTTGTATCTTTATAGAGATATCTTTCTTTAGGTTGGATAAGTTTTCTTCTATGAGTTTGTTAAAGATATTTTCTGTGCTTTTGAGTTGAACTTCTTCTCCTTCATCTATTCCTATAATTCTTAGGTTTGGCCTTTTCATTATCTCCCATATTTCCTATATATTTTGGGTTAAGCTTTTGTTAGATTTAATGTTTTCTTTGACTGATGAGTCTATTTCCTTTATTATATCTTCAGCACTTGAGATTCTTTCTTCTGTCTCTTGTATTCTCCTTTATGCTTATGTTTTTGGTTCCTGATTGTTTTCTCATAATTTCTGTTTCTATAATTCCCTTGGCTTGGCTTGTGTTTTCTCTATTGTCTCTATTTCAGTTTTCAAGTTTTGAATAGTTTCTCTTGCATGTTTGATTGATTTTTCGTGGTTTTCTTTAAGGGATTTGTTGATGTCTTCAAACCTCCATTTCTTTGAGGGACTGTCTCATTTCCTCTTTAAGAGTCTCAAACATTCTCCTGAAGTTATTTTTTAGGTCATTTTCCTCTGCTTCATCTATATTTAGTTGTTCATGTCTTGCTGTTGTGGGGCCACTAGATTTACTGGTGTCTTTACACAATTAAGGGGAACATGATAAAAAAAAAAAAAGAAAGATGCCAGCATGTGCCTCGACAATTTCTCTGAGCACAATCTGAGGCATACTGTCACATATGATTGCAGTGACCATTGTAAGATGTGGTCAAATCCCTAGATGCACTGTGTTTACCAAGTTCTTCAACTGTCCACAAACAACCAAAAAAAAAAAAAAGGAGCTTTGACATTAAAATAGGAACCATTAGGAGAAAATATCACTGGAAAATAGATTAATGAGAATATTTTGGTGTTCAGATATATTCAATTTCAAAACTCTTTATTCAAATGAGCAGTTTAAAAATCTTTTCTGAGAAATTACCATTTTTACAGACATGGCATAAAAAATGACTCATCTGGCAATACCCCAGAAAACAACAACTCACAGAATGAAGAAGAGCCTGAATTCTCAGCATCCGGTATTAGGTAATAGCATCTTCCTGAGGAAACTAGAATCTCACAGTGGTCACGGTTGGCACTGCGTGGACACTTGGGATGAGCAAGGTTCTCCTACACTTGTGGCCCCAGACGAACAAACACACTTCTGCATCTCTCTGAAGCATCCTACAGAAGCAAGCACTGCAGTAAGCCGCCTTGCAAGCTTGTTCATTACTGGGCCTGGTGGAACTCCCTGAGCAGTTCACCTTGCATTTATTCAGGGCCCTCTGCCTCTGTGGAAGTTTGAAAACACATGAAGAGTTTCTCTCTGCTAGCTCAACTTCCATTTGCTTTGATGGATTGCAAACAGGCAAGCAGTGCCTTGCATGAGAGAAGAGTTTTCAATCATAAGGAAATTCTGAGCTTCTGCAATTGATACTAAAATTATAATGCTGCCATCACTCCTCACTCGGTGGGGAATTTGCAAAAAATGGAAGAAAAAAAATGTTCAGTACCAAGTCAGTGTCACATTGTGGTAAAGAGAGTTGACTAAAGTCTTGGCCTTGGAGTCTAGCTGTCCTTTGCAGAAATCATAATCAGCTTAAAATTCAGTTCATAAGAGAGTTAAAATATGGACATTCGGTTTTCCAGTTTTTGATTGAACGGAGATAAGTAATTAGGCTGAAGTTTTATGAACTCCAAGGACTTAGGGGCTGAGGATATGGCTCAGCAGGTAAAGTCCTTGCCACACAAGCATGAGAATCTGGGTTTGGATCCCCAGTACCCATATAAAAGTTGGCCCAGTATATATGCTTGCAAACTTAGCACTGAGAGAGAGAGGCAAGACAGACCTAGCACAGAGGCCCACTTGTTAGCCTGTCCAGCCAAAACTGTAAGATTCAAGCTGACTGAGAAACCGTGTCTTCAGATAATACCATGGAAAGGAAGAGAGGAAGATACCTAACACTGACCTCTGCCTTCTGCATGTGCAGGCTGACGTGTCTCCCTGACACACATGTACTTGTACAAACACATGCAATAATCACAATAACAAAGTAAGTCAACTAAAGCATCTAAAATGAAGAGATCTTTTAATAACTTAAAGTAAGACTCTATCCTTTCCTTTTTTCCAGGATTTTAAATACATCACAATAACCCTTTGTTCTATAGTCTCCCATTTCTCACAGGGCCACAGAAAAATACAGCTTAATTTTAAAGGCTACAAAGCTAGAAGTCTCAGAAAAAAGGTACAGTGATCAGTTCAGTTATGCAGGGGGCGGTTGTGAGAAGAAAAGTGTTAAAATGAAAGCCTAACGATTCATACAGTTTCCCCTGTGAGTATACTTCAGCGATGTGAAGAATTCAACTGACCAACTCATTAACAGTTATTATTTATTGGTTGCATAACTTATATCAGACATGATTTAGGATTATCTTGTTCAATACTCACAGTAGCCCGGTGCAGTAGATCTGATTGGCCCCTTCGCAGATGAGGAAACAGGCTTGCTTGGGTCAGCTAAAAATCATCTAACTAACCAGAGTAGCAATGCAGGACCCCAACTCAGGACTGCATGTAGATGCAGTCTATATCTACAACTAGATGCAACTACATCTCATTTGCACCCATGCAGAAACCATAAACTGTTTGTCAGGAGGCAAATCTCTGATACCTAATCAGCAATATCTACCACAGAGGTGCTTCATGAGCAAGCTAAGACAGTAAGAGCAACTATTTCCAAAAGACTATATATGAAATGATGGTCTACATGCTTTCCATATATATATATATATATATATACACATACACACATATACATGTATACACACACACACAAAATCTCCATCACAAACAGAGAGATAGGAAACTAAGTGAGCATTGAGATTATAGGGAACGTGCCCAAGATCACAAGTTGGTAAGAATTTAGGAGCCAGAGCCACCCTTTGAATTCAGATGTCTGGCTGATGAGACTCTGCACTTGGTCAAAGTACTACATGCTTGGTAGGAGGCATAATATGGATGCAGACTAAATGTGTGTCCATATTTCAAAGACATCAAGCCAAACACTGAAATAGTTTCACCAGCTTACCATGACTTGTAAATCAAAGAAAAGCTGAATAATCAGTGAAGGCCATGATCAATATGAATGATGTAATGTATTCTTGAATTATTCTGCTCAATTAAGTTTTCATTACAGAGTTTAATCCACATATCTGACAAGTAAAAGAGGAATAAAAAGGATGACTATGTGAAATTAATCAAATAAACTGTCAAATAATTTTTCAGCAGCGAATTCATGTACCTTGTAACAGATTTAAAGAGACCTACTGCATATGCAAATGCATTTGCACAGATGCCCAAGGTGTATATTTTGTGGTCAGATCAAAAACCTAGCTTAACACTGTCTGGAGCCATATGGAATTAATCCAATAATCTTATAAATAAGCACAAAATGTTTGATGTCATTAGGTACCCTTGCTTCACTGATTGAAGGGTGACATTAACTCTTCAATTCTGATGAACTTAGGAGTTCAAGAATAAATGCAAAAGATTTCAGTGTGTGTAGACATACATATATGCATATTTTGTATAAAGTTTTTATACTGATTTCTAATAATTGGAGTCACCACGTGTCGCGTTTCTAAGACTTTTACAATAAGTTCAAGGTGTCACATAGCATATAGCTAACAGTTCTTTATTGTTCTGTTTTGTTTCCTCTGCAGGCATCCCCAGCATTTCCAGTATTGGTAGTAAGTAAAATAATCACCAACCCAAACCAAGGCTAGCTTTGCTTTGTTGTTCAGCTCCTCAGAGCTCTTTTCTCATGTCCATTTCTGATGCAATAGAGCAGTATCTATTGGGATTCAAGTTTCCTGCTGGCTTTAGGTACTGGTGCACGGAGAACACAGACGAAACAGTGGCTTGTGCACAGCTCTTCTGTACATGTGCAATGCCCATTTCCTAATGACTTTGGCTTCATGAAGGCCACCTGAACAGAGACCTGAAATGGAGAAGCAATTGCTTAGATAAATACATCTTGTCTTATATATAGTCCTATGTCATACTTAGGGACCAAAACCAGATTGCACTCTCTTTGTAGCACCAAGTGTAAATCTCAAATGTAACTGGGAGGAGAAGAGAATGAGTGTCCATGAATGTCCTAAGTATGTTCATTGAAATTCAAGGAAAATACCATGAAGCCAGTGAGGAAATCTTTTAATGCATTAAAATGTAGGTTTTGTGAAGGCCTGAAAGAGGTGGGTTGATGATCATTAATCATTCCCAGGAATTCAGGACAATCAGTTTGCACACCACCCACTCCTCTCTTCTGAATTACAGTGGTCTGTTCACTCTGGAGCCCTTTGTTTTCTCTCTGGTAAGAAAGGGATATATGTACAAAATGTAAGCATAGGACCAAAACTTCCTAAAAAAGTCTCTTAGTAGAAATCCAAGCAATTGAAGAGCAATCTCCCCTCCACTTTCTGGACAATGCTTTCCAACATCACTGCTTTGAGCATGTCCAGCTTCTACAAGAGGGTCAGGTTGCAGCTCTTCTTCCTGTCTGAATTAGTGCATCCTCACCCAAGACTGGAAATATTCATTACGAATGTACACTATACCATATCAGAGCATAATTTCTCACAGTTTTTTTTTTTACAGCATGCCCTTGATGACCAAGAGTAAAAACCTTAGAGCCACAGCTGAATCACCGATTTAGAAATAAAATACTAAGGAAACCTCAACTACGGTCTGTAAACGAAAAGAACACTGGTCCCTATGATGGTCACTCATCAAAGGCTTGTGTCCTAAGAATTGTGCCAGGGAGAATGTTTACAGTGTAAATATCAGCAGATGAAGCATGGCCAAACCCAACACTTTCCTAAAAGCAATTCTCTGACAATTTGGATAAGAAACTTGCCACTTCTTATACATGCAAGGCCAGCTCTTCTAATTGATAAATCAGCCCAGTTTACTTAAACCTGTGAATAGATCCAGGCTCTTATTTGTTAAGCATTAGACATGTTGAATGCCATGAAAATTAGTTGCTCTGTAATCAGAGACAGCATTTACATCCACTTTGATACAAACCTACAACAGCAGCACTGTCTTTGTGATCTTACAAAAGCAGTCTTGGGGCTGCCTTGCCAATGAAGATGTTCAGCTCTAATATCCCTGCCGTAGGGCTTGGCATTTGCCCAGGTATGTAGCTCCAAGTGCTCCCTTTCAGGCCTTGACAACTATTCTTGTAAAACTTTAAAGCAGAGGGAACCAGAAGGGCTGCCGTGATCTGGTGTGCCCAGAGTTTCAGAAATGGATGAGTGGAAAAGTAGTTCTTTGGTGCTGGGATGTGTTTTCGTTCTGAGAGCCAGTTGTGTGTTGCATGGACCTCTGACCGTACCTGCTCACTCCACATCTCATCTGGCCGCCTCCACCCCATCCCCCATCTTTGAGCATCAGCAGATGTTGACCTTTTACACACGGAATCAGGAAATTCCAGTTTTGTTTGGCACAGTTAAATTTAGAAATCAGCGGTGACCTGAAAGGATGCTGTGCCATTCCTTAGGAAGATGGACTAATCTTTATTATTATCAGGAACCTGAGAACATTGTACGGCTAATAATCTGTGACAAAAACCCTATGACTCCAAATGATAGTCTGTAGCCCAAACACCTCTGGCTATTTATCTTAGAGCACAATGGGTGGGTTGTTTTGTTTTGTTTAATTTCTAATAAAGCAAGATGGAAGAGCATTCAGGGATCATCCTGTATCACACAAGACTAGCTTGCCTGTCGCCTGGCTTTTAAGGTAAAGAGATTAATGATAACACCATAAAACACCATGTTATCTTCCAGTTGTCCTTAATAGCATTAGCGAGTTCCTTCTTTGTGGCCTTACACAGTACTTGCTGTGTGCACTGGTGGATTCTTTCTTCTCCACAGGGAGAGAATTCACATGATGATGATTCATTGCCAGGCCTAGAAGGTGCAGAGGGGATGGGCAAATGTTTTCAAGTTACATAGTAGAGAGGAGGAAGCTGCTTGGATATTTAGCTAAGTCTGGGCCTTTTCCAGGGCTTCTCTTTTCACGCCAAAGAAGCAATCAATGTATACAATCCCACTCACTGTCTAGGAAGATCCATTGTAACAAATGAAGCACCCATGAGGTTCTGATCATCAAAGTATTTTTCGTGGAAAATAAATGATGTATATTATTTATGTGAGCTATTGATGTACATAACCATAAGTTTACATACATACGCTGTGTTTTACAACGGCTGGAGGATTTAGCTCTAATAGACTTCGTATAGATTTCATATTGTCAACATCAGCATGAAGAATCAAACACATGGACAGAGTAGCTATCCTTTCTGATCATCTGCTAAACATATTTTTAAAACAAATTTCCCATCAAGGCCATTTGTACCTGCTGCTGTCTGTCTACTAGGAAACAGGTTCCTCAAACACCCTAAGAGCACATCAGTCATTTTGATGTGGTTTGACCCATGGCTAAAAAAAAAAATTACTAATGATATTGCCAGCAATTAGTGGATCCCAAAATAAATCTGTAGTCGTTTGAGCTTTGTGACCGTTGTTTCTATTTAACCTCATATGATAACTATTCATATGCACATAATTCAAAATTTTATTCAAGTGAACATTTGTTGATGCTGATGATCTAAATTAATAAATGGTTTAGTACGGGTGTTTTTTGTTTATTGTGAAAACTTAATCATTATCTTCTAACATATATTATCTAATTCTCAGTACAGCAGCACAAAAAGTTACACTAATCGTGTTAAACGATATATTATACAGAGTATAATTAGGCTGACAAGAACTGTCCTAATGTTTAATAGCTTTGTGGGGGTGTTATTATTTCTTACAAACACAGATGATAAATGAGTCAAATATAAAAGGTAAATCCTCCAGAGGATGAAATATGACATCAAGAAAGTTCATTTTAAAAATACTTGGAATTTTTAAATAAACACAAACAAAAATACGTAAAAGAAAAATAGTGATGAAGATGGCCTGCAACCCTATATATTATTTTTCTTAAATAACTTTTATTTGGCTGAGCTGATGGCTGTACAATGCATATAACAGTGATGGAGCTGTTTGACATCCCCTCCCCCACGGCCCATTTATTAAATTTGAAACAACAATTTACTTAAGGGAAATATCTCATTCTCCTGTTTTCTCTTATAATGAGCATTGCCTTCATCACAGAGTTAAAAACTCATCTCTAATTTGATTTAATTGGCAGGACTATTAAACAAGGGAAATGCTACCTGCAGGGATCCATCAGCCTGTTGAGAAAGCCCAGAAATGTTTTCATACTTGAGAACATTTGATGCCAGTTGGAGACCTTGTCAATGTTGTTTTCCGTACAGCATCCAAATATTTTTGTGTAGTACTGATTTGTTGTAGAAATTTGAATGGCGAGAAGGAAAAATAACAAGGTTAATCATTTACCCACCCAAGGGTTATTAATAATCATGTTCACTCTATTCAGAGAGCTGCAGTGTCTGTTTGATTTTCCCCTTTGTTTTAATACTTCTAAATCCCCCAAATAAAAGTTCCATTGAATTGCCCTTTAACTAATTAGATTTTATATAATGAGGGAAAAATCATCAGGCTAGTGTAGCAACATGGCAAATTGCATGGTGTGCTACATTAATTTTGAACTGTTTGCTGATGTTCTAGAAAGAAAGCTAAGGTCTCGGGTGTAATGCCTTTGGGGACTGTTTTATCATGTACCCAGTTTCCTCATCACAGGATCCATTTCATATTTGTGTAAATAGCATTTCATATTCATGAAACCTTTGTTGTTATCCTAAAATTGAATGAACATTAGGACATGGCTGCCTTTTTAATCCTAAAAAAAATCAAATATTCCAGTGAGAGGGTAAGAATCCCTCAGTTACAAGAAAAAGAATTTGAGAGGTACCCATTTTTATTGACAACAATTGCCCATCTTGAGCCATTGACTCTTTTATCTTTTGACCTTTACCTAGTTGATTTTGAAATGTCAACCACTTTTTTAAGTGTGAGCTAAAATCTCTACCTTTGCTAGCTGTCTTGGTAGGATAGGATGTTTTCTAGATAGAAGATATATCAAGTTTTCTATAAGGAACCCTCAAACAGATTACCGTGAATCCTTTAAGAATGTGCCAATTAATGACTTCTTGGATTACAAGTCTTCTTAGAGTGCCAACGAGAAGCCAAGCAACTGACCATTCTACCTCCTGGGAAAAGTTATGCAGAGAGTGATTTGAATTATAGGGACATGTTCCCCCAGTTTCTATTGAGTTCTGTTTTACAAATGGTAAATCTGAGTCAGCTCAGAGTGGCCAAGTAACCTTCCCAAAGTACGATGAGCAGGACTGCCTATCTGACTTCATAGCATTAAATGAAGTGGAAGAGATTATATAAAGAAAAAAAAATCTGGATTTATTGACTCCTGCCAAGACTCTTTCTATGTAGTTAAGAAATCCCTTGATTACTGAATTGACCCATTTCTGTACAGAGAGCCACAGATTTTGGAGAAAAATGGAATTATTTTGCTGACACTTCACTGTGCTGTCAGCAGAAGATACAAGCATGGTGAATGAGGACAGAGAATCACAAACCTTTGCCCCAGTAAAGCATGTGGTTCCTCCACATACAACTTCCCAATAAACTTAGCAGAATGCAAGTATATAAACTCTGGGTTACTATAGATGTGAGTATGTGAGCTATGCAAATTA